CCCCCCCCCCGAGTGCGAGAGAGGCAGACGGACGCTTTCGGGAACGGCTCGGACGGACGGCCACCGCGATATCCGATCCTGTCCGCGGCATTGGGTGGCTGGTCTAGACGGCCCCAAGGCTTCGCCAGGCCACGTCTTTTTTCCCCCCTCCCCCCCTCCCCCCTCCCTCCCTCCCTCCCTCCCTCCCTCCCTCCCGGGGCGGCTCCAGTCCAGTATGTTCGCTTCGCCGACGTTTTTACTCCGGGACTGCGTCGACTGCGTCGGCCGGGCTGCGTGGCTGCGTCCACGGCGCAGGGCGGGACTGGCGGAGGCTCGTTGCGAACGGTAAGCGTCTCTCTCTGTCGCACGCAGGGGGTGTGCCGTGGCGCGCACTAGAGAGAGAGAGAAAGAGAGAGAGAGAAGAGAGAGAGACGAAGAGCTCTTCCGGAATCAGCCCCCCGGAGGACCCTTAAGGAGCCCTTCGAGGACCCTTTGCGGGGACACTGGGCTGAACTACGAGCGCAAGCTGCGAGGGGGGAGAGGAGAGAAAAGAGAGGAGAGAAAAGGAGGGAGGAAAAGAGAGAAGCGAGAGGAAAAGAGAGAGAGAGAGGGGGGGGGGGTTTACTAATGGAAATAGGGCCGGGGGGGGCGGAAGGCAGTGCGCTGTGAAAAAGGTGAAGCAGGCTCGGGCCAGGCGGCTAGGCTCGGCCTGCATGCGGCGATGTGGCTTGGTCAGCTTGGCCGGCTTGGCCGGCTTGGCCGCCAACTTCGGCAGGAGACGCAGCCACTGCAGCCCCCACCCGCACCCCCTTCGCCTTGTTCCAGTGTGTTGCGACTACAGAGCACCGATTTCCCCCTCCCCCTCTGTTTGTCCGAAACACAGTGGCTTCGCGCTACTTTCTCATCGCATACACTACCACCAGCAGCATCGCATCGCCCTCCCCCCCACCACCACCAACCAGCACCACTCCGTGCCCACCGTCGAGTTGATATCACGCGGGCCGCGTCCATGTACTGCTCGGTTGATGTTGTCACAAGCTATAACAAAATGATCCCGCGTTGCCGCCGCAGGGCACGTTCGGGCACGTCCCCACCCCAACCCCCGCCGCTCCAGTGCTCTGCTCACACTCGCAGCGCCCCGCCCCCGTCCGCCCCCCCCCCCCTTCGTCCGCCCCCTGCGTGCCAGCGATGCCGAAGAGTCGCTTCGCCCCTCTGTCTCTCTCGCACCCCTACGGAACGCCCCGCGAGTGCGACGAAGAAGTCCGCGCGTGTTGGTGCAGTTTTATTCACGAGGTTATAGGCGCCATACGCATCGAGGGGCCGACGGGGCCGACGGGGCGTCCCCTCCGGACAGGTGGGGGAGGTTGGGGGAGCTGGGGGGAGGGGGAAAGACCCGCGCAGTATAAACCAGCGCCAATTTCCCGCAGAGATGATAGACAGGGTGGCTGGGTCGGTCGGGGGCTTTTAGAGCGGGGTTGGGGTTGGGGTTGGGGTTGGGTTTGCCACGTGCACCCGCCACGCGCTGGCCCCACTGGCGGCCGGGTAGCGGAGAACAACTTGCCCGCAAACTACGGGGAGGCCGGGAGACACACAAAAAGAATCGCTGATTTCAAACCCTGGAATTGGGTTGGTCTGCCCACCAAGGGCATTGGCGTATACCCGCTCGGTTAAGACAATTAGGGGTGGGGTAGGGTCTCTCTCTCTCTCTCTCTCTCTCTCTCTCTCTCTCTCTCTCTCTCTCTCTCTCTCTCTCTCTCTCTCTCTCTCTCTCCCTGTCCCTTCCTCAGCTGCGTCCCCACACCCCACACCCTGCAACGCCTATCCCGGGTGGCCTGCATGTTCCCAAGGGAGGGCTGGAACTAGAGTTCCGGGATCATCTCGTCCCCGCTAGACTCGCCAGACTGCGCCGGGCTGAGTGTGGGACGAACCATACGCACTCCACGCAGCGGTTGGCGGAAAAGTCCCGAAGGTCCGTCGAAACAGGCGTTTCTAAAAATTCCCAGGGATGAATTTGGAAATAGTGTGCACCTGCTTTTTAGATTCGCGGTATGTAGGTTTTCCCACAGAGCAGTTGGCAGCTCTCACCTCTTCTCCGCAACTGCGCGACTGCGCCATCTTCAAAACCACCCCTTTTTATCGCGCGAGGCGCGAGGAGGAGTCGAACCACGGTCGGTGAAAAGGAAAAGTTTCCCCGCTCTTTTTTCCGACCGTGTACGTACGCTGGGGCGACTGGGGCGGCTGGGGCGTGCCCGCGCCGTGGCCGGCCGTGGCCCGGACTGCCCGACAGCCAGACAGTCTAGGGGGGTTAATTTGACGGACTTTGTCCCAAAATGAGGACATTGGGACGGAGCTCCGGCAGCTCCGCCAGCTCCGCTAGCGATGGCCGGGCCGAGCCGGAGGGCCCCGTCCGTCGTCGCTCTGTCTCTCTCGCGCTCACGAGGCGCTCCGGAGGGGTGCGAGAGAGACAGAGTGCTGAGTACAGCGAGCCGGGCCGACCAATGGCGGCGCTTGTTTGTCCTGCCTTTTGCAAACTTTGGCGACACGCGGAGCGCGGCGCGGCCAGGGCGCATCGCCACCGCTGCCACCACCACCACCACCACCACCACCACCACCCCCACCGCCACGGCCGGGACTTTTTCCTAGAAATAATGAGAGAGTGTCGTGAAAAGACGCCCTAAAGGCAGCCAACGACGGCCTGCACTCCGCGTTGGAAGGCTGCCGAGCCGGGCCGAGCAGTGCCGAGCCGGGCCGCCGGGCCGCCGGGGCGCAAGACACCACGCGTCATCTACATTGCAAATAAAGGCGCGCCCTTTTAGAAAGACCAATTAAGGATTCCCTTTGGTCCTTGGCCCTTGCCGTCGTCGGCCCTGCCCTTCAGCCTGGAGGCTCGTTCCGTCTGTCTCTCTCGCACTCACGGGGCGTCCCGCATGGGTGCGAGAGAGACAGGCAACTCTCGCGGAATCCGTCCGCTGCCGCGGGTCGTTCCCATTCGTCGTGCGCGACGCAGGGGAGGTGACAAGCAGGGCTTATTGGATGAGGGTGTGCGCGTGTGTGTGCGTGTGCGTGCGAGCAAGGTCATCCCTCGCCGAGAGAGAAGTGCACCGGCGCCGTCCGCAGTGACATCGCCTATCCGTCATCCTCAGCCCACGGCGGCATGGCGGCTTCTCAGCTGTGCGCCAGCCACCCCGCGCTCCGCGCTCCGCGCCACCCCGGGTTCGGCCTGCCGGCCTGCCCCAGTGGCCCGCGCCCCGCGCCGCCCCCCCGCGCCCCAGCTGGCGACCGAGGCCCCGAGGCGCCGAGGCCCTCGTCACGTGCTGCGGCTGCTGCGGCTGCTGCGGCCGCGTGACAGCGGCACCGGCTCGACGGCGTGCTACGCGGTGCAGCCGCGCCTCGTGGCGGCCTGCCTCACCCTGCGCCTTCTTGGCGTGCTGCGCGGTGCTGCGCGGTGCTGCGCGGTGCTGCGCGGTACTGCGGCGTGCTACGCCTCGCGGCGGACCGCGGCGGACATCGGCGGCACTGCACTGCCTCTGAGTCTCACCCTGCGTGTTGTTGTTGGCGTCCATGGTGGGCCCGCTGAGCCCCTTGACGTTCTGCTGCAGCGAGGCGATCTCCTGGCCGGTGACGACGCGGAAGCCGTGCTCGGTCTGCTTCCACTTCCAGCCGCAGCCGGGGTTGGTCGAGTTCTCAAAGTCGCACTTCTGGCCCGTGACGCCGTACAGGCCCTCGGCCGAGGCCGCGTCCGGGGCGAAGGCCACGGCGAAGGCCACGGCGAAGGCCAGCAGCGACAGGTAGACGAGGCGCCGTCGCGCCATGACGGGGCCGTCGACGAGGGCGTCCACGACGAGGGCGTCCACGACGTGGCCGTTAGTCGAGGCGTCGACGCTGTGACGGCGGGGAGGGCGGGGAGGGCGGGCACGGCCGCAGCTGGCAGTCCGCCTCCATGACGGGGAGGACGACGAGGCTGGACCGCAGTGTCCACGTCGTGGCACGACGCCCCCTGCTGGCGTCGCTGTGGCGTCGCGGCGTCGCGGCGGCGCGGCGCGTCGTGGGGGCTTGGCGTACTGGCGTGCCTGGCGGGGCTCGGACGGCACGCTGCCGGGCGGGACGCTGCGTCGCGGTGCGTTCGGGCTCGTCTCGACTCAGCCACTGAGCTGCCGCTGAGGCTGGGCTGCCGCGCTCTCCCCGCTCTCCCCGCTCGCCCCCTGCGAGGCTCTGCTGGCTCGCGGGGCCCGCACCGCCCCCGCGCCCCCGCGCCCCCGCGCGAACCCCGGTTCGATCCGCAGCCTCTGGCCTCTCTCTCGCGCTCTCGCGGTGCGGGACCCGGCCGTCCTTCGCGCACCCTCTCTCTCTCGCTCCCGCGCGCAGTCGCGGTCGCTCCTCTGCTGTGTGCGGGCTGCGGGCCGTGCGGGCCGAGCGGGCTGGCCCAGCCTCTGGCGAGAGCGGCGGCCGCGCGCCGAGCATCCCGGGCTGATGCTGCCACGCTGCCATGCCGCCTAGAGTCCTGGGCTGGCGGGCTGGCGCCGTGGTGCTGCCCCCTAGCGGGCTGCTGCGGCGCCAACCAGCACGTTCTCTAGGCCGGGGAAGGGGGAGAGGGGGAGACTCCACGCACCGCTCCGCTACGCTCCGCAACGCCGAGCGACGCCGCCACCACCCCACTGCTACCCACAGCGGGCCGTGGGGTTGAAGGGCACGCGACACGCACACACACATGCGTCAACACACACACAGACACTCACAGACAAGCGCGCGCGGTAAGACAGTGGAGCATCTCACCCCCTTTTTACAAATCACGGGTCACAAGTTGCCCGGAAGGCAATCCGTCCTGTTTGTTTGCTGGGGGGGGGGGCAGCGGTGCGCTCCTCCGGGCTCCTCCCACCGCCTTCCTACCGGTCCGTCGGGAATACCCAGCCACGTGTGGTGTAGCCACGTGTAACCACGTGTAGCCCGGGGGCCGCAGACTGAAACTTGGGGCCAAATTCACTTTACTTCCTGGCCACACTTTTCAATCAAACCCAACCCTCCCTGGGAATGGAGGAACGTTTCCCGACTCGAGAAATGGACTGAAATGCCGCGAATGCGGGTGTTCGATCGAGCGCCATAACGGCGCGCGGTGCGGCGGTCCGGCGGTGCACTCGGCGCATGATTTATCCATCCGCCTCTTAGCGAGCTCGTCTGTCATGCCATCGGCCGCCATCGGCACGGCACTGCGAACGGTCGCTCTGTCTCTCTCGCACCCACGGCGCGGGCCGCAGCGTCCCGTGCAGGTGCGAGAGAGACAGAGCGACGGGGCCATCCGCCGGGACAGTCGGCTGCCGACCGCCCACAGCCAGCGGATCTGCGGATACTCTATGGCGGCGGTGCGAGGCAGTGCGAGGCAGTGCCGCCCCCTCCGCCCTGTCACTCCACCTGTGCCTCGCGACACCGCCCCCGCGCCGCCCCCGCGCCGCCCCCGCCCGCCCACGCGCCGAGTGGCGTGGCCCTGCGTGGCGCAGCGCTCTCACTCGCACCCAAGGGGCGGCCCGTAGGCCCGTAGGGGTGCGACAGAGACAGCGACGGCGGCCGCAAGGCCGTTCGGAGTCAGCCAGAGGCTCAGCGGCACACAGAGCCACACGTCCGTTTTAATCAAGGGTCGTGACGTGTGCCTACGCCGACTGCTCCATCTGTCTATGTGCACGCGGCATACAGTGGGCCAGAAGACCGGTGGAGGCGCACAAAACTGTAGACGCGTTTGGAGCTCCAGAGTCGCTAAACAGGACTCGAGCCGAACGTGCGACCCCACCGATGGATCGCTCTCCGAACAAGAAATCCATTGGTGGGGTCACACGTCCGGTTCTAGTCCCATTTAGCGACTCTGGAGCTCAAAACGCGGCTTGAATTTTTGCCGCCCCCACCGGTCTCCTGGCCCACTGTGCGGGACGGCGCGGCACGACATGGCCGGTGAACATTCAGGAACTTGGCTCTGTATGTATTTCCAGAGGGCTGTGTGGGCAGAGGCGTGCACAATCAACGTGACGCAGGAGACAGCTCCGTCTCTCTCGCACCCCCGCGCAAGGACCCTGAGTGGGAGAGAGACAGAGGGTAGGCCGCTGTCTTGTCGCGCCCGAGGGTGCCGCCGCGCGTCCTTCGGTGGCGGTGGAGGCGAAACTCAAAATACGCTTCCATCATCCCCCGCAAGTTTGTACAGTGTGTAGGTAAACAGCCTGTAAACTAGCTCCCTCTCCCTCCCACCCACACGTGGGCACACACGTGGGCACACACGTGGCACGGCGCGGTGCTCACATGGGCGCTCACCGCCCCACCGCCCCTAATCCAGGAGGCCGGAGAGCCGCCGAACCTCTTAGACCGAAAAGGTCAGGGGTTATGCAAGCGGCTGCCGGCTTGGCTGCCGGAGTCCTGCCCCGGACCGGAGGGTCTTGTTGGTCTTGTTGGTCTTGTTGGCGGAGACGGCAGTCCGTGAACGACGTGAGCGCCGAGAAGCAGGCGGGAAAAGGCTTCTTCGCCAGTCGAGCCTCAACCTGGAGGAACCAGCAACAACAACACGACCTAGGAGGGAAACAACAACAACAACAACAACACGAACACGACCGACCTGGAGGGAAGCAACAACATCAACCCTCCCCCCAAAGGAAGGAACGCGGCAACACATTCAGCCCCCGGAGCACCTGATGAAGACACACGAAAGAGTTTGCACTCCTGCAGGAGGCCGCTTTCGAGCAGTGCAGCAGCAGTGCTTTCGTCGCTTTGTCTCCCTCGCACTCTAGGAGCGTTCCGCAGGGGTGCGAGTGCGAGAGAGACAGAGCGACGAACCAAGAACCGGAATCAGCCTCCAGGCGAACCGGGTGGGGCCTTCGCATGTGGGAAATAATGCTGTGTGCGTGTGAGTGAGAGAGAGAGAGAGAGAGAGCACAGCGAATATAGAGCGCACCTCGGACGCAGCCCGCTGGGTAGCGAGCGCGCCAGCCAACGCACTCGCTCAGAAAATTGCAGCAGAGCAAACGAGAAACCGCAATAATCATTCGGACGCGGCCTCCCTGGTCTGTGGCGGTCTGTGGGGCCTCTGGGGGATGCGAGGCGGCGGACCGGAAGCGGACCGGAAGTGGACCGGAAGTGCGGCGCGGAGACAGCCTGTGAATGGAACGAACTGATAAGGATTCGTTTAAGAGAAAGGCAGGGGGAGGGCGCGGCCCTGCCCCACACCCCCATGAGACGATGAGATGGCGGTGCGCGCGAGTGTGGGTGTGTGACTGCGTGTGGCCGGGCCGGGTCCATGTCAATAGCACCGCCCGTCCAGTCCCTCCGCAAGTCCCTCCCGCCCCCGCCGGGCGCCAACATCATTCACAGAGGGCTTAAACCGGTGTTGTCCTCTCTGCTCTTTTCCCGTCCATTTTCTTTTGTTTTCATTTTCTCGTCACTCCGCGTTTGGCCCCTCCCCTCCCCTGGCCGTGACCCTCTCCAACCGCATGATAGCCAGACCCGTGCGCCGCGCGTCCAGCAGACCGATTGCGAGAGTCGTTTCGCTGGCTCTGCCTCTGCCGCGCTCATGGGGATGCCGAGCAAGTGCGAAAGAGACAGGGCGACGAAAACGACTCTCGGAATCAGTCTGCTGATCGTTCTGGTGGTTCTGGTCCCCGCTGGTCCCCCTGGTCCCACGGCGCTCAACGGCTCAACAGGTCCACGTGCTCCGGGGGCTCCGCTACAGGGCTACAGTACACAGCCGACCCGACAACCGCAAGCCCCGCCAGCCCCGCGTCCTCTATTCCAACAACGAAATCGACAGCATGCTGGCCTCGGCCTCCACGGCCTCCGCGGCGTCCGTCCAGTCCGGTCCAGCGGCAGCGCGGCACTTCCCCGCTCTATTTTTGTATCGCACCGGAGAGGGGGAGGAGGTCGAGGCCTGCAGTGCGAGGATGGCAGGCTAGGCTTGGCAGCGCGCGCGACCAGCGCGACCGCAAAAGGTTTATTTTTACCTCGGCTCTTTGGAGCAGATGTCACTTTTTCTCATACCAACGACCTTCCCTTCCCCATCCCAGGCGGACTTCCCCTACACTACACAGGCGAGAAGGGTGTCGCTCTGCCTCTTAGGAGTTTCAGGGAGAGGCTGTCATGCGTTCATTGCTCCCCATCCAAACAAGTATTCTTAACTCATATGATTGTTAAACTCGCATGATCTTTCAACTACTCTATGCCTTCAACTGAGTACCATATTTAATCTACAGGAATGGTGGGGACTTGATAAATGAGAAACTGTAGTAAATGAGGTAATTGTTTGGTTTGTTTATTCACAGCGCATAAACACACTCACTCAAGACGCGCAAGCCAGGCAGAAGATTAAGAAGAAAAAGACAGCGTACACACAACCAGTTCACTTACTCCACTTTGTCATTAAAGAAGAACCAACAAAAAAACAAATGTTTAAAAATAAACAAAAGCGATCCTACAGTAACTTTTGAAAGATTCTGACAGGATTGCTAACGACAAAAATTTGCTTGCAAAATCTCTGCTTTGCATCAAACTGAATTTAAAAGCAATGTAACTTGCTAGTAAGAGTTCACAACTAAATTACCCTACTTCGAATAATACATCATCAAAATAAAACAAAAATATCTTACAAATCTTCCCTTGGCATCAAAGTAAGTAAATTGATGACTGAAATGATTTAAGAAATTCCTTTGGTCAACATTAGGAGCATCTCTCTACAACCAATTGTTAACAAGATTAGACAATGACTTTGACCTTACAGTTCAACACCAAATGAACACAGACTTGTGACTTTGACCATCAAATATTTACCAAGTAATAATTTATCTTTGTTACTGGGTAATAATTATCATTACAAAAATTTTGATTCAAAACTTAGACCAACAAGACACCAAACTTTAAAAAAAATTAAAAAAAACAAACAAAACACAAAAAGACAAAAAATTTCTACTGTGCACGTGCTCTCCCTCTATTCAGAGCTCTAGATCCCTAAAGAAAATTTTATGCTCGTTTGTGGATTGAGATTTACATTTCAACAAATCCTTTAAACAATAAATATGGAGCTTCATGGAATGTCAATTTTGGACTAAAGGAACATTTACAGTAACTTCAGCCCACTTCAAGCCAAACCATGTCTTTAAATCTATTTACTATGATTCTAGAGACTGTATGAAATCAGGCAGCAATAGACATTGGCTAATAATTTAACAGGTCATCCATCCATCATTGCAGCATTCTGAAATTGGTCCCTAAGGAAAACATTCCCACTGTCAAACAGAAACATGGATGATAAATGTGTAACAATGCTCAGTATATAATCCATGTACTTAGACAAAACAACAACTGTCCTTCAGACAAATAGGACTGGCTTCTGGAACAAGCAGGTTAGATGAGATTAAAATTTTGCAATATTAAATAACACTCAGTCCATTTCCTTACATCTAAATACAAACAACTTGTAATTCCTATGTATGAGAAAGTGCCCAACTTTGAAATAGACAGAAAGTTGAGGAAACAGGATCAAACTTTGCTTGATATAGAAGCTTCAAGTAGCAACAATAGTGATAATAGAATACCAACATGAATATGTGATTACCTCGCACATAGCAATAAATAAATTCTCTGCAAAATTGAAACTTGTGGACCAAGGCAAAAGGGAAATCTATCATTGACATAAACAGAATCACAGAGAACCTTCGTAAACTGAATGAGTAATTAATACATTACTAAATTACATCACATTAAACAATAAAAGAATCTAACTTCAAATTTTACAATTCAACAGTAAAAGAGAACACCATCAATAAAGGTGCCCCTCCAAAGAGGGTTTAAATTTTAACACCATTAGAAAATACCCATTATCCATTTTTTTTAAAAAAGATCAACCACCAACATTCTTATCCAGTTCCACCTTCAGACAATAATAACAATAAGATACAAGAGCAATTGTTTTAAACAGTCTCTTTTCAGAACCTTGTGAGGTTGTGATCCCAGAGAAGAAGTCACAAGATTCTTTGTGAAAGATTTAATTGGTCGAAAAACACCTTACTTTATGCTAAGTCTCCCCTCTCCAAATAACCACAAACAGAATCTATCAACAATGTAAGACAAGGCAAAGTCAGCACAGAGAACTTGGACCAAGATGATGCGGAACTGAAAAAGATAAGAACATTTTAGAGGCCAAAATCAAAGAAGGAAATCTGAAAATAAGTTTGAAAGAACTCACTTCAAGTGGGAAGTCTACAATCTCGAAAAGTGTGGCTACATCAGGGAACACACCCAAAGCAAGAGCAAAAATAAATGCAGTGGAACCCATGATACTGAACATGAGTGGTCGGTTTTCGTTCAAGCTCTCCATGAATGGGTGGCCCTGGAATGAAATTCATACATTTAAAGGTCAGGAAACATGATCTCAGCAAATACAACTGGTTAGAAGAGAGAGGAACACCTACTCTATAATTGATGGCAAAAGTGGCAACTTGCAATGCCATGGAAATGATGTACACTGTACTATTGAGAATGCCTGGAACAAACTCCTGCGGCTCTTCATCCTCAATATCCATATTGAGGGTAATTTTACCATCCCTGATAAACAATATACAAATGATTACAGAAATACAAAAGTATTATGAGAAATCATACAAAATTACATTTTAAATACCTTGGGGGAGAGCGAATAGTAGCTTCATGTACTAGATAGATCAAGCACACAAAGTGAACTGCAAACTGGCCTAACACTGTCAATATAGTGTAGAAGTTAAAAATATTGGAAAGAGGCCTTTCTTTAGACAGGACTTTCAGAGGCTGAAAGATTAAACCAATTGTGCAAGATTACTTATTAAAACAACATAATATATGCATGTAAAACACCAAGCACAGTAATGAACCTACCTTGGATCGAGAAATAAAAAGGAAACAGGTGGCTAGCAAAAGTCCTTGCAATGTTGCTTGCATATCACTTAACTTAATTCCATCTACATACAAGACTGATTGGCTGTACGCCAGGATAAGAGCATTGAGAGCAAGAATTTTAAACATCTGTAACGTTGTGACAAGAGTGCACCGTCCTTGTTTAATTACATGGCAAACTGAAACAAAACATGTAAATTAATGAGAGCAACGAGAAAAAGAATGAAAGAAGCTGAAATCTTTCAAACACGCACTGCATTGAATAGATGAGAGCTTGCTAGTAAAGGGAGCAGCAATGCTGGCATCCCCTAATTTTACTATTTGAGGTTGATCCATGTCTTCAACTTCCTTCATGAGCTTTTGAATTTGCTCTTGAGCTCGGTGAAGTGCAGCCTGTAACAAATAAAAGCACATTTCACTTAAAAAGTAGCATTTTTAAATATTTCCTGTCAGAGTGAGTGAAGAAACCGAATAGGAATTAATACCTGACGGGGGTCAGCCAACTGTCGGGGACTCAACCTCGGTGGGGGAGCTCGGGCCACAGGACGTTGAGAAAGATCACTCTCTTCTGTCTCTCTCTTTCTCTTATCTTTATCTTTCTTACTTGGAAGTCTCTCAGGAGCATTTGTTAGGATTGCAACACCTAAGAAAGTGAACAGTTACTGTGATGTTCTTTAAAAAAAAAAAAAAAAAAAACATATGCATGGTAACACACAGTTCTCATACCAATATGTGCATGTTTCAAAGCACCAACATCATTGGTACCATCCCCACACATGAGGGTTGTGTAGCCTAGGGCTTTTAGGCCAACAATAACCATTTCCTTTTGCTTGGGTGCAACTCTTGCAAAAACTTGAATGTGAGGAAGAATGTTGTACCAGAATTTCTGATAATTTTCGTACAGATATGCTAAACCCTGAAAGAAACAAGACAAGACAATTTTGATTTATTTATTCAAGTTTTCAGGTGATACTGAAAAGTGATTATTTCAATGTACCACTCACCTCTCCAGTTACACATAGATCATATGAATTACTGAAAGTTTTATCCTGAATGCTCTTGTCTAGGGATATTTGCAAAGTCTGATCAATACTTTCCCAAACCCATTTATTAGAAGATGATAAAGTAAAAATCAGAGTTGTCCCTTTAGATGTGAAACGTAGTTCTTTTGCTACATGGCATGCGGTTAAAGGATTGTCTCCTGTTATCATCACAACCTGAAGAAATGCACAAAATACGATACATGAATGTAGGACAACAACTGCACATCCAGCAACAAAAATTTAGCAGTTATTCTCACCTTATGAGAGGCATTTTGTATTTCAGTGATTACTTTTCTTGAGTCAGTCTTTAGAGGACAGGAAATAATCACAAAACCAGCAAAGGTCAAATCTTTTTCTAGTTCCTCTCTCTTTAAGTCACGAGCCTGACTCTGGGTAAGACGTCCAATTTCTTTCCATGCCAGAGCCAGGACACGAGCACCACGCCTTGATAGTTCTAGATACACTTGGTTGTAGTCACTGGGCACATATGCAAGCTAAAACGGAAAGAAAATCAATGTTTAACAGTTCAATTAGAATATTTCCTTAATAATTAAAATCCCAACTATTATGCCAAAAGATATTAAAACAAAACGGTCTTTTGCTCTTAATAAAGAAAACGAACAAACAAAATAACTGGGGTGACAAACCATGTCTTTAATTGTTTCAGGTGCTCCTTTGACAGTAGTAATGTATGTTGTGTCCGTGCTGCCTGGCAGTGTGTATCCAGCAACAACTGACATGCGCTTCAGAGCCGATGAAAAGTGATGGCGGTGGTATATTTTGATTCCTGGCGATTTTCCTCGTTTAGGAATAACTGCATCGGCTAAAAACCGCAAGTCAAATAAGATTTTAGTCTAAGATTAATTTTAAGCTGGAAGGGAAGAGGATGAAAGTGATAACAGTCAATACCTTTAGTGAGGTTCCAATCAACAGCAGTAAGAGTGGCTTTCTCAAGTGGGTCCCCTACCAAACCATCATCCAGATGCGCTAAGGCATGACAGGTTGCCAAAACTTGCACAGTTTCCAGTGGAGCATCAGATATTGGAATTACTCCTGGTCTCCCTCTGAAAAGGAAAGATTGTGTAAGAAACTTGATATGAGCCTATTTAATGGAATACTTATTTTTTGATATATTATCCGAAGGCTTACTTAAGACCTGCTATCCCTTCTACAACCAAATTATCGCTTGTTAAAGTGCCAGTTTTATCAAAGCAGCAAATTTCAACTTTCCCAGCAAAGGGTATACGGAAGGGTTCTGTACAAAATACAGCTGCAAAGAAAAATAGAATTAAATAGTCAAAAACAAATACAAAGGACACTGTGTTTTTCAAAACAAACTGTTCTGTCAATTTACCTAGCTTTGAAAGTGAGAGTATTGAAGCATTCACAGCTAAAGATAATTCAATGGGTAATTCAGGAGGCACAACTGATGTTAAAATCAAGGCACATTCCAAAAATAGCTTGTACCGATTGCGCTCAGGATCAGCAGAGCCTGTAAAACAAAATAAAATAAAATTGAACAACAGCAAACAACACAATATGAACAGAATTTATAAGTAGAAGACAGAAAAAATAAATTAAGTTAATACAGCCAACCTTTAACCCACACATAGCCTGCTGCAGCCAGTGCGAAAACTAATAAAAACATGATGAAGCCAAATGTTTCCATATTGTTTGCAGTTACACGTTTGACGCCAAACAAAATTGTGCGAAGGAGCTTTCCTTGAGAAGTATTAAATCCAGTACGAAGAACATATGCTACACATCCATTATCTTGAGCTGAATTTTGGAGATAAAATTATCATTGTTGTAATATTATTCATATGCTGCATCATTGGAGAAACAACTGAACATGCAGTACCTTTCAGACCAGCAGATGTTTTGCTTGGTGGAGTGTGCTGAACAACCTTAGTTCCTCCAAAAAGCACATGTAGTTTACCATCTGCCTCCATGTCCAGAGGCTGATTTAAATCCATGACATTTTCAATGGGTTCCTTCATTTGTGGCACACTTTCACCAGTCAGCATGCTTTCATCCACAATACAGGGGCCTCTCAGGAGCAACATATCACATGGGACCAAATTATCATTTTGAGATCTAGCAATGGACACAATGTCACCAGGAACCAGTTGGTCAGTAAGAATTTGTCTCCAACGACGATTCCTGAAGACCTGTTGGAAGAATATTAGAAGCAAAAGAGTTTTAAGTCATCAGACAAATACAACACAGAACCCAATTTTGCCCCGAGATCAACATTACTGACCTGAATAGAGTAAGGCTTGTTTCCCATCTTACGGATTTCCGCCATGTTTCTCAATTGCTGTTGCACAAGAGTACATTCGAAAAGAACCAGCATTATGAGAGTAAATATTGAGTAATACCAATATTTATCCAGACACCACAAGGCTACGCAAAATACTTGGAATACAAAGAATGGAGCCGTGGCACGTTCTTTGAATAACTCAGAGAACTCTGGTACAACCATATCAAGCCTGAAAGCCCATTTTAAAATTTAGATAATGGTCTAGGAAATAGCATGGAGTAAAATTAAAATTAAAAAAACTTACTGGTTCTTGCCATAAAAGCTTTCTGCCTTTTGAATGTCAGTCTCTTCTTGATAACCTTTCCAATCCATGTATGCACCATAACTATCGTTGACAGGGAATAGCAATCCTTGGAAGCACTTCCTCTCATTGCTCCACACATATTTTGTTTTTTGGAAGATGAACCATAGACAATCATTTCTGTCCTCATCCTGGAAAACAAAGGGATGAAGTAGTAGGTTAGTAGTGCAAAAGGGAAATGGTAGGAATAATTTTATAATTAAGGAGCAGAAAAAGTCTGATAATCATGCTTATTTATACCTTAAAGAAATGAACTCGGACCAATTCTGATGACCCGTTGTTGTCAGTGGGTACTACTTTGGCAACTTCAGCCTTCCTGAAATCTTTCACCTGAAATAGAGGAGAATATTAGAAAACTAGTCTGTTTTATTGTAATGCGGGGCACAGGGCAAGAGGCAAGATAGATGTGTAAAGATGAGAAACTGGAGCATTGTGTAAGTTGTGATGTGGCAGCTCTTAAAACACAAACAGCTGGACATTTATGAATCAGCTAGTTTTATTGACCAGCTGCTAAGATGAATTCTGAGATAATCTAGTCACAATATGTCAGAACTATGAATGTGAAAACTGAGTCTAGCAAACACTTGACAAAGTTATGGGCCCACAGAGAGACACAGTGCACTAGGAAAAAGGGCACTGTTATTGGTCAAAATAGTGCAATGGTTCGAAACTGATGGGATTAAGTAAATTAGTCAAAAGTTTAGTGACGGGTGAGGTTAAGCGACCGGCTTGTCTCGTTTCACTTACCGTTCCACACGTCAGGAAACACCTCACATGCACCGACCAGTGGCAGAAGAGACAGATCAAAACTTGCACAACTCCAAGAGCTGCAAGGCCAGTGAATCCTGCCTCTAGATGATCAGAAACACCGTACACAAACAGCCAGCCATACAGCCACGCAGGGTACAGAACAAGAAAAGGGAATACATAGCCGTGAAGCAGCAAAGGACGGGGTGTGTGAAGAGTAACCGACTGCACTAAATCGTCCACGGCATTTTGTTGCTTTAACGAACGGTTCTGTTTACTGGGCGAGGGAGAGTTTTCATCCCCGCTGCCAGATTTTGCCATGTTTCTGCTTCGGTCTCCTCCACAACACAAGTCAGCAGCCAGCAGCAACCCTCTACGTCATTGCTCTCCAGTGTGCCATCGTGACGCCGATGAAATTACCATAGTTATACGAAACACTCAAGATGAGGATCATAAGCGGCAATTAACTGGCTTGAAATCATAAAAATTGCATTTTAGTTTATTAAATGACCTGTAAAAGCATCTATTTATCTATTTCACATAATTTAATTGGGAAGTGACATTTCAGACTGGACTGTTGTTGATACTTATTTAGCAGACGGTTTGTGGAGCGATCTTCAACTGTTTTAGTCAGCCGCGGTTCGTGGAGAGTTTCGAAGTGAACGTTACATACCCGTCGCTTTCTTTCTACATACATTTTGTGTTCGTGTGTGATTGATTGATTCAAAGTGGCTGTTTGTTGACGGAGATCAAGGCTTCGCCTGGAATCAAAGCTAAGGCAACTCAAAATTTTCGTATATTTCGCCCTAACATGCGGGCTGTGTGTGCGTGTGAGTGTGGGCGTGGGCGGGCATGCAGCCGGAATGTTCAAACAAGTTCGAACCAGTCTTCAAGTCAGAGAAGTAAAATTTTATGTTTCATTCCTATGCGGAAACATGGTGGGACCAAAAATTTGAGTAAAGGTACACCATAGTTTGAGTTTGCTCCTCCTCAGTTTAATTATTAGCATCACATCGCTGTGAACTATTCACTCCTATATCACAGCTCTTTCATGGTTTTACATAACTCTTACCCTCTAATACTTATTCAAGCAATATCCCATCCCCTTTCTATTTTGGCTTATTACTTATAATTTTTATCATATTTTTGGGGGCATTTTGAGCATATTGCCTGGGATAGGGTCCTCTTCCGTAAGTCACTACGTGCTGTTCGTCAAATTCGTCTAGTGAATCTTCTTCAGGGTCTCCATCATAAACCCAAAATGACGAGTTGAATCGTGCTTCAGCCTTCTTTTTTTCATCCACAACACTGACATGCTCGTATATACACTGGAAAAACCAAGGATTGAAACAGCGCAATGATAAGTGTACGGAACTTTTAATTTACTATTTAACGTATGATTTGAATTACAATGACAATAATCTTACATGTCTGCAGCTTTTTCCACAGCACTTTCCTTTCAGGAAGTGTCGTAGTCTGGTCAGAATTTTCTCATTTAAGAATGGGTCATCATATGTAAAATGACCCCTTTCAACAGCTTCGGCATGAAGGAAATGAATTGTCTTTTCGTCCGGTGTTAACTTTTCTAGAGATAGAAATGTTTGATACTTCGCTTCAAGCTCTTGAAACCGTTTCCGCTTTTCTTCAAGGTCCGCGTTTTTTGATTTGTTTTCTCCCGTTGAGTAAGATAAGGCTTGATTGTTTTGCTCTGGGATTTGTCTTCTGTGCAGTAACACAGGATAAGATTGACTCCAACATTTCAGGTTACGGCTCCTCAAGGAGACACAGCGCAGTGGCAGTGGCACACTCAAACTGGCCATTGGCACAGGGGCAACACTCTGCTCATTCAAACATACCACAAGATGTAACCTACAGCTTAACTGGGATCCACTGACAGTCCAAAAATCACAAGTAAACCATCGAAATGGAAGTAAAATGACACTCGCCCTTACAGACGACTTGTGACGTCGTCGTAGGAAACAAAAACAAGAAACAAACGCGAAACGATGCTTAGCAGACGACACAACAGTGCTGCCACTTGCGGCCCCTAGAAAGCACTGGAAAGTATCCGGGAGACATGGGCGTTGGGTTGCCCATCCCATACGACGGCGCGAACTTCAAATGTTATTGGACTCCTGGATCATTGTCCAGCGAGAGAGTCCGAAATCGGTTGAGTTATAGGTTTTGGAATAGAGATGTCACGCGTCCAAGTCCAACACTTTGGAGACTTACAGCAATGGGGCCCGTTTTGGTGAAAGATATTGTCATACACTTGATCATAACTATTATTGTTAATGCCAGTGTCTGTGTACAATATTTGACGGACCAATAAAATTAATGCAAGGAATTTTAACATTCATAAAATAAAATTTATCAAACAAACCTTAATTTTTTTTTTATAAATTTGCAATTGAATAGTATTTGATAGGTCAATAAAATTGATCCAAGGGCATAAAAGACCCCATAAAATCAAACAAACCAACGAATGAAAGCTTCAAAAACTTTACGAGACGGTTCGGTACGAAAATCGTGCATCACTGTGCACTGCATTGTTTTGGAAACGATGCCCATAAATTTGAACGGGAAAATGTGGGATGTCCTCAGGGGGGCAGTTTCTAAAAAGTGGCGAGCCAGAGCTCAGCGCGAACGAAGTGTGCTCAACACGTGCGCGCCGTGCCCGGGCCTCGGCGCCGCGGAGCCGAAATGAAAATCGGCCTAAGCCCACTTGAGCCTGCGGGAGGCGTGGCAGTGTCGCAGCCTGCGGCCGCGCCGACGAGTCACCAACCGCGTCGTTTGCGCGAGGTGGCGCCCGTCTTTGCCATTGCCCCGCCCTGCAGGCTGATTCCGAGAGTCGTTTTTCGTCGCTCTGTCTCTCTCGCACTCGTGGAGCGTCCCGTTCAGGCGAGAGAGAGAGAGAGAGCAAGAGAGAGAGAGAGAGAGAGAGAGAGAGAGAGAGAGAGAGAGAGAGAGAGAGAGAGAGAGAGCGCGTCGAAAACGGTGACTCGGAATCGGTCTGCTGTCCCGCCTCACCGAAACAATAACAATCATTATTCGCGCAGAGACGCTCCGGAGGAGGCGCGGCCAAGCATTAATAGGCGCCGCTTATGAATCGGAAAACGTGGCGGTGATGGTTTTTAATAAAGGGGGTTTATTGTGGCCTGAGAGCTCGGACGCCCCTCTGTGTGTGTGTGTGTGTGTGCTGCGCCCCGACAATTAAAAGCAAGGCATTCCATTGGTCGCTGCGCTCGCTGCGGAATGTGCAACGTTGCGGCTGAAAAGGCTCGGCGGCTCGGCGTTTCCGGCAAAGGCGTCGATCGGCCGCATTATTCGCTTATTTGCAGTGGCGGCCCGCGTCCCTCTTTTACGCGCGGGTTTCAACGGATCATCCCCCCCCCCTCTTTCCCGATGCGGCCTGGAACAATTACGAACAATGCAATACGCCATGCGGCAGTGCAGGCTGCAGTTCCGACAGTGCTCTTTGTCGCTGCCCCATGAGTGCGAGAGAGAGAGAGAGAGAGAGGAGAGAGAGAGAGAGAGAGAGAGAGAGAGAGAGAGAGAGAGAGAGAGAGAGAGAGAGAGAGAGAGAGACAGTGACTGGCCGTGCAGTCGCCAATGGCGACTCGAATTAAAACGCGAACGGCATTTTGAGGGCGGGGGCCTGCAGCAGGGCCTGCAGCAATGCCTGCAGCGACGCCTGGACGTGGCCGGTGGCGCAGTGTGGTGGAAGGCCGAAGGGCGTTTCGGAACGATTAAACGGGACGGCCGTGGATAACGGAATTAAGGAAATGGCGGTTCGACTGGGGGAGGGGGACAGAGCGGGCAGCGCGTCCAGAAGTGTCGGCCTCGCTGCCGTCGCTCTGTCTCTCTCGCACTCTCACGGACTGACTGGTCCTTGAGTGTGACGGGGACGCCTTCTCTGCCCGGCCTCACGGAGCGCCTCACGGAGCGAGGGTAGGCAACGCGGTGGGCAGCCGTGTCGCCGTGCGGCCTACCCGCCAGGCGCTCGTCGCCGGCAGGGGCGGGCTGCGGGCTGGTGGTGGGGTGGTGGAGCTGGGCCGACCACCACCACTCCACCACACTGCCAGGCTGCCAGTCCGTGGCCGTGCCATGAGGGCTGGCAGGCAACCGGCTTTGCGATGGTGGCGTCCTGTCCGCCTGTGGTGAATGGGGGCTACAAAGGGCTCAAAGTGACGACTGCGTGGTATTGGTTTGGCCGAGGTTTTGAGAGGCACACACTTCCTGTTACACACACACACACACACACCACACACGCGCACCGTGCCGTTTGAAGCGCTCTAGCTGGAAAGTGAGCTGAAGCGCGGTCTTGCGTTTGACTGGGCGCGCGTGTTCCAGGAACGAGTTGCTGTGTTTGCCGCGGACCTGAGTGCATCCGTGGCCGGCCGGCCTACGCCTTGGCCTACGCACCGTGCGCACCACGGAATCATTCGGATGGCAGCCTTTGAGCAGCGCTCTCTTCCGCGCCGGGTACGTCCTCGTGCTCGTGCTCGTCCTCTTCGTCGCCGTCCCCCCTCTGCCCCGCTACCCCGTACCCGTTCCGCGGGCTTGGCGGTGCGTCCGCTAGATGGCGCCGCGTCCGCCTGGCCCGGCCCGGCCTGCCGTCAGGGCCCTGGTGTGCCCCGGCCTGGCGGCCACCGAGTGGGGCTCAACGTCGGGGTCGGGGGCTCAGTGCCACCGCCGTCGCCACCCGGGCCACCCGGGCCAGCCCAGCCCTGCCAGGCCTGCCAGCCCCGGCCGCCCCGCCGAGCCCCGCCGAGCCCGGCCGAGCCCTGGCGCCATTTCAACAGGTAAGCCGCGTGGCGGCGCGGCGTCCCAAGCGTCGCCAAAACAAAAAACAACAAAAACAAGACGTGCCGGCGCATTCATCGGCCGCTTTGCCGAAGTCTTACGCGCCGAAAAAGACAACAACACAACAACCAGAAAGCAAATTGAGTTGGCGAGTTTCGCGCGGCTCGCGGTCGCGACGCAAAGTAATGAAGCGTCATTTTTTTTGGCGCGTCTTTTTCTTTTAGCGACTTGATGTTTTCCTTCCGCCAAATGGACAGGAAGGAACCATATGGCATTTCCTGTCACCCCCACTCCCCCTCCCCTCGTTAGACCGATCCATCATGCATCCCTGCGCCGCCCTGCTTTGCCGCCGCGGCTTTCCCAAACTTGGGCGCGCCTTCGGCCTGTTTATTTTTGCATGCTTGCTCTGCATCGCGCATCTCGCGCACCGTTTGCTTGATGCGTCTTGACCGCGGCGGGCCGGCCAATCGGAGGACGGCGCCGCTTTGGGGACGCGCTCTGATTGGTCGGCGGCGAGGCGCGGCGCAGGCGGCCAGCCAATGAGGGCGCGCTGCCCGCTCACGTGGCGCACGTGGCGGAGGGAACCGGAGGGAACAAAAGCATATCGATGCAGATCAATCCGCTTGACGCGTTTTAATAGCGAGACGACGTGATTGGCAGTGCCAATTACAGTGGCCTTGCTCCAGCGAATAGCCTCCCCCTCCCTTCCCGCGCAATCCATCTATCGTGGAAGCTGTCGATCTCGCGCGCTAGTTTCAGGGACCAATCAGCAAGTAGCTGAAAAAAAGGAGACTGAAAAGGAAGCACAAAATAACACGGGCTACGGGCCGATACAGTGAATGGCTCGGAGCGCTTAGTGGGCCGGAAGACCGGCGCCGGCGCCGGCCAAAACTGTCGGCGCGTTTTGAGCTCCAGAGTCGCTAAACAGGACTCGAACCGAACGTGTGACCCCACCTATGGATTCCCCGTTCGGAGAGCAATCCATTGGTGGGGTCACACGCTCGGTTCGAGTCCCATTTAGCGACTCTGGAGCTCAAAACGCGTCGAGAGTTTTGACCGCAGCGCCGGTGTTCTGGCCCACTGTGGTGCCATTGTGGCGTTGCGCTCGATTTCTCATACGCGCCTCTTCCGGTGTGGCGCCGCCGAGGGCCGAATGTGAGTGGTGCTCGGCGGAATCGTCGTCGCTCTGTCTCTCTCGCACTCATGGGGCTCCCCGCATAGGTGCGAGAGAGACGGAGCGACGAAAACGACTCTCGGAATCAGTCTGCGGGGCTTTGGCCGGGGGGCTTCCCTCTGTTTCTGGTGGAGTGCTTGCTCGGCCCCACTCGGCCCCACTCGGCCCGGGCGGCAAACAATATGCAGACTCGCTTCTGGCGGCCGGCCCGCCCGGAGCCCGCCCCGCCACTGCGCTAGTATTAAAGAAACATAATCCATCGATCAAATTACGAGGGCCCCGCCCCGCCCCGCGCCGCCCCGCCTGGAAATGGGCGGGAAAATAAGACAAGTTTACTTGTTGACTTTGGTAGTCTCGCGTGAGGCGGTACTGCGCGAAGCACGGATGGGCCGGCTCGTTTTTCAGTCGCGGGGGGCACTGCAAAAATAAAAACAAAAACAAACAAGCGAAACTTTATTACGGGGACAGAGGTGGACGGAAAGGGGCCGGGGGGGGGGCACTAATTACGGCAGGAACTCGGTGACAAGGCGACCTCGTCAAGGCTGTGCGTCGCTCTGCGTCCCGCGAACGCCGGAAAAATAATTCGCTCGAACTGCGATCGAGAAGCGGAGCGCAGCAGTGGCGTGGCTTCGGCCCCTCTTTCAGTGCGCACAGTGTAGCGTCGTTTCCCTGCGGCTCTGTCTCTCTCGCACTCACGGAGCGTCCCGTACAGGTGCGACAGAGACAGCGCGACCAAAACGACTCTCAGTCTACAGTGGCGGCCGCGGCCCAGTAGTGCGGCCCAGTTTGGCCCAATGTGGCCCACTCCACAATAACAAACAAGTCGGAGTAATTAAAAGCAAACAAGTCAGGGCATGCCATTTGCACAGCCCTGGCTTCGCCGCGTCGCCCGGCTGTTTGCGGCGGCGTGGACCCCGTCAAAGGGGAAAAGGACCGGCGACACTTGCAGTGGGCCGACATGTTGACTCCCTCCATGGTCTCGGGGACGACCGCCATGGCCGCCACGCGCACGCCGTGCAC